GTACTTTTCTTATCAATGCGTATTGAGTTTTGAATTGAGAAATTTAATTTCTGAAATCTATTTGTAATCCATCATCAAGGACATACGACAAAAGTACAGAACAAATATCGAGGACGAAACAATGATTCTTTGAATGATGTAATGCTGATTTATTAAGAGGATGTAAAGCAATCCACATCGTATGGTTACAGCTGTTGAAAATTGACTCCAATTAGAAGGCGTTCAGTTTCGGGCGAAACTTCCCTCCGGATACTTTTTCCATGCCGCATTCGAAGAATCTGACAAAAGATTCCGCCATTTTACTAGTGACGAAACTTTTGTTTAAAATTGAATGGTCTATAAATGAATTCATAATATCAATGAATTCACAGTTGCAAATCGTAAAATATCTACCATGTACCACCACATTGCATTTAGCAGCAAAGTGACAAGCCAAAATCAGGACAAAAATCTCGAGCTTCATCATACAAGCGTTACTCGAATCGACGATATTTCCACTGGGATTCAGATTCGGATTCAGATGGCGATAACACGAAAGATGACGATAAAGAGATACGTTTGAATACGACTTCATCAATATTTCCAAACGCATCAAAATGTGCTCATCGTTCAAATTTATTCNCTAAATTATTATTGTATTCTTCATTGAACTGAAGAGTTGTTCATGGATTATTATTTACGACCAAATGAATGTTGAATAAGTTTTGAGACAAAGATTTGAGTTAGTGCTCGACATACGGTGTTAAAATATGTATTCAGCGGTAACTTTTCGGCTCATAAAGCTGTATTGATAATGAAGATATATTTCTCAAATCTGTGATTAGGTAATGACGAACGAAAACTAAAAGTAGAGAGAACATATGCAAAAGCTGAACTTTCAAGAGGAAGATCTGATGAAGAATCACTCACATTTTCAATGTTTTGCAGGTGGATGTGAAGATGGCGAAGATTGTGAACTGTGCAGATTGGGGAATGAATATAACAATAAGTATGATAAGGCAAAGGGCAAACAAAAGGCATCGGACATGATCATGAAGGATCTTGGAGTGCTAGACGATTAAGTTAAGATACACTCGTCTGAGTGATGTTCTAGGATTCTGAATGAATCTTTTACCTATCGTAACTATTGTTACGATAGGTGAAAGCCATCGACGTCAAGTGAATTCACTATTTCTTTGGGAAGTGCGGACATTCGCATTGCTAGCTTACCGAAATGATTCCAAACTAGCTTTCTGCATGAGACAGTTTACCACCACTGGGATAATCTTCAAACGTTAACTGGCTATTGCATCATAATTCAGGCATAGCCCTCACTTCTGTTTCCAAGATACCAACGAATAACAACTCAATTCAAGAGTTAAATATTTTGCAAAACAATCTATTTTTCATCCATCTTTGAGCGCTGATCACAAATAATGGAATTTTGGTCAGAACGAAGTTTAAAACGTTGGTGCCGAATAACCACAAATTTGTCCGTATCAGGGAAGTGTACGTCGAATTTGAATGTTTGTTCATGATAATAACGAATTAACTTGAACAAACAATAAAATGTGCGTGTTGTTTGTGGACGTCTTTGTTGCTTCTTTCATTGACAGACGTTGACGCATTGACGAACACAATTGCATTAATTTTGTCGTTCGTATAATTTGAATCGTTACGTTCGAATGATTTATTTCTCTACTCTGTCGCAATTGAAACATTCAAATAATCTACGTACGTTATACGAAATTTTGTAATTACTGTAACATTAAAAAAACTTTTAAATTTTGTGATTACTCTAACACAAAAAAGAACAGTTTACCATCACTTGGATAATTTTCAAACCTTAACTGGCTATTATACCATAATTCAGGCATACCAGAATT